TATACTACGTGCTATATTTTGTGCGTATTTTCATCATGCTAGTGCGTGACAAAGGCCGATTACTGTCTATATCTATGGTTGCTATTATTCCGTAGGTAGAAGCTGATTGGTGCAGTCGAAATATTTGAGCGCCTTAAGCGTCTATAATGTTTCCTTAAATTTTGAGGGTTTGTTTTTAACTTTTCAACGCTCTAAGAATTGTAACAAACCGCTTTTCATCATTTAATAGCTTTCAATGTGTGCAGAGGACGAAGAAAGGTTTGCGGTCGGTTAATCTTATCCGATCGGGAAATCGAAAACGTTATTCTAAATTGGTTATCAAACTTGAGATAAATCACTCAGAGAATTTGTCTGTAAGAACTTACATTCGTAAAACGCCTTCAGGATGTATTCGTATCTTCAACTATTCTCATTAATTTTCGATATTTCGTCGCAAATTGTGGTAACTAATAATATAACATAATAATAATAATAAATAATCACAATAATAATACCATAAAATAGCGAGTGTAGGTGATGTATTGGATCATTGCAGTCAGCTTCACTCGATCTACACTGTTAAAACTGGAACAGAAAAGGCCCACAGTCATTGAAGTAAGTGTTACCTCACGAGCACACAAACGGTAGAATAAAATAAGGCAGCACAGTTTTACCAGCTATACACATTGTACTTAAGGAATATGTGAGTCCTCAATAAAAAAAATCAAAGCAAAATACATTTACTACCAAAACGTTAGGTGTATCACCTTTATTCTAAAAATTTACCGGCTACGAGACACAATTCAATCCAATTGAAATAAATTGTGATCACTAAACGTATATAACCCCAATGACTTGGTTTATCGTTTATTATATAATAAAGTAATAAAATTATATACTTATCATTGTCATTAATACTACTAGTACTAGGTGTCATGCGACTAAAATATAATTATTACTATAATTATATCATTATAATTATATTTTATTTACGGATGGTCCAGCCTATCGTACGAATGCGTTATCACTGATGGACAACTGTCCATTTCGTCAGAATGCGACAAGTAGAAGGGCAAGAGACATGCACACGTGCCTTGCCACTTTCCGCTAGCATTTCCTTTGGGTCACATTCTTACGCTAGGTAAACGGGGGCAGAACGTATGAGTACCGGCGTGCCGTGCTATTGCTATCTTCTTGTATTTATCAGATGAAACCTTGAACAGTTCGAGGCAAAATGGGTCATTAAAATAATTTTCAAAATAGACACCATAAAATGACATTGATGTACGCCTTTTACCCTCTGTGCCGTTGTAATGAGCATACGATTTTGGATCAGTATATAGATGAAATTGTTTATTCCCATATCATACTTAAGATTATAATAGATACTCATACTGTCGCTACTGTTACACATCGTTTAAGTTTCGATATAAGATTAGCACGCTGGAAAACGTGCTTTCTATAAAACTTTTTGAGTGGTTGTGATGTCGGTAAAGCGAACTCAGAAGTGAAAAAAAAATGCTGAAGATAGGCTACACCGTAAACCGTGTTGCTGTACAGAATGATCTCAATTGGTTCAATGCCGCATGCGTCCCACTCCCCCTACGGATTTCGCGCTATATGTTAGGTGTATATATTTTTGTAGATATGTATTTACGTGTGAAGCATGTACTGAATGACTGAAAATTCGATACATTTTTCTGTTGCTGACTGACGCTTAGACCTTAATAACGATGGCCAATATGCAGAAGGGACGGTGTACTACGTTCTAACGTAACGTGGACGACCCCTATTTCGCTGTTACTTCGTATTAGCTGTTGCATACTTCAAACGAATGTTGTTCGATATGTGATTGATGGTCAATTTAAGGCAAGACATTGGGTTGGCTTTGGGAGCGTATGTTGAGGGAATATCGGTAATTTTGAGCTCTAAAACTCTTGTTCTTATTTAGATACGTTCTAGTTGAAGTAATGGTAGTTCGGTAAAAAAAAGCGGTAGTTTGACTAAAATACCTACCTTTTTCGCAAAATGGTTTAAAACAATGACAGAGGAAATCCAATGAAAAGGCCAAGTTCTAAAGACTGACAGCTGAATCACTTGATAGACTCACTTGTTCATCCACAACATGACCACTCCATAATCCGTTTCGCGTTAGGAAATCCATGCTCTAGTTTGCTAAGAATTATCATTATTATTTTGTAGCAAATCATATTCGAATGTTTTTAAAGTCAACTTGATAGAGATCTAAGCTATTCACTCTGCAGAGTAGAAATCAGCCGAGCTTGATTTTGATGTTTGACAACGACTGTTCGATAACACGGCCTATACGTAAGATAGAGAAACGTTTTATTTATTAGCGTAATTTCAAGTTTGTATAGGTAAAGATGTTGAGACGTCAACAGTAGCTACGTATGCTTCGAAACATACGGGTGGGGGATTGGAGCCAGCCCTGTTAAGTACGAAGAGCCAAACATATTCTTCCCCTTCAACTAATTAAATTATACCAAAACAAAATTCCACGACAGTCTTAATGTTTGTTGTACGGGTCTAGGGGAAAAGAAATTAAATGATTAAAAAATTATCGCACAAAACAGATCTGCCGTAGATTCAGAATAGTACCTAAGCTTATGCTACTGGGCTTCCAATATGATTATCGGTATTATAGAGCTCCTATCTACAGTGACTCAAAAACCTACAAGAGCTCGTTATGTGTATGAATCATGTCGTCCTTTTACATTACCAGCATTATCACTTGTGCGAAAGTCGACAATGTCATCTCCATTGTTTTGTCTGTCAGAACATAATTCCTTCGTGTTCTAATGTTTGCTGGAACTGACTGATTGGTCAGCTAAGTTCGTTAGCGATCTCGACACCTCGAACAATGAAGGGTCGGTGTAGATCGGTTCGGTCATATCATCCACGACGCGTGCTGGTGTGAGTCGAGTTTTAGGGGCCAAATGGTACTGTTTACCGTTTACCGCACTACTGCTAGCGACAGGCGTTTCGTCAACGATGGTCGAGTTGGACGGGCCAAAAAACGGCGACGATACCCCAGTAACTCCGGCGAGCTTCGCTTGCATCCGAACTCGTTTGACGATCAAAGTCGAGCCAAAGATCACAGCCATAAGCGTGAACACGAGAAAGATGAGAAGCGTCATGATTGCATAGTAGCCAGCCTGGGCGACACATACTGTCGGACGCTTATGCATAGCCGCTATAGCGTCGACAAGATATTACAATTAAGAGATAAAAGCACACGACATTACAAATATATTACTAACAACGGACACACACCACTTACACAACAATATAGCCTCTTTGATACTACTATGCAAGATATAAGTTCGCGTCGCCTAGACCTAAGAGCAGGGCTAATCAGTAAACATTTTAAAAAAGGCTTTTCGTCTTTCTGTGGTTAGTTGCCACTTTTGCTTTTTATCTGTTACTTTGCCTTTGTTCCTTTCCTCTTGGATTCATACGGAAGTGTAGCGGCCATGGGTAACGGCAGGCATGAGATTCGGGTCACTGAGCTCCTATGAACAGAAGAGGAAGGACGGGCTAGGGGTAAGGGACAAACGGGCCAGAAGTGCGAGCTACGGCATTTCTATTTAAGCACACCATTTGCGCACACAGCCACACACACACACACACACACACACACACACACACACACACTCACACACATACACACACACACACACACATACACACACACACACACTTACACACACACACACACACGCACACGCATGAGAGGCATGCACTCCTAGGCGTCTCTTCCATTCAGCGTACAGCTCAAAAGACTACGGCCCGCTTTACCCTAACGCGCATAGCCGTTGTAGATCATATCGGCCGAGGACTAGGAACTGACATTCGTGCTGGATTCCAATGCACGAACGGGGAAGAAGGGTATCGAAAAGTATTTATAGAGACACCCTGCCTGGGGGCAATGCTACAAATGGAGGAAGGGTAGAGTTGCGCTCAACCAATGATTGGAGAAACGCCATAACGAGTAACGAAAGTATATGATGATAGGGCAAAGGAAAGAAAGTGGCCGTTGCTAACATCAATTTGTCGTTTGTGTATTGCAAATTGATGCATCGAAACAATCCGGTGTCAACGTTAAGTGCGATGCTGACCGAAAACGAAACAGCACACACTAGACCCGGGCAGGCATTTCGTAGAAACGTTAGAAGAAAGTACGAAAATCATAGAAGCGACAAAATTGAAAGTTCGTATGATGTAAAAAAACGAATGTAGAGATTAGCAATTATACGGACTTGACTTGTGATGCACAAAATCTTATATAAAACATCCAAAAGTAGACATCTACTTTAATGAAATTCGCATGGCAACTACAAATTGCCAAAGAAAATCAATAGACTTTTGTTTGAAATGAAACCTTTGTAAATATGGTTAGGGCAATTTTTTTACATGAAGGTCTACAATGAATCAGTGAATCAACGTGCCACGCCAGACTAGAATAACGTTATCGTTTGTACCTGTATGAAAAGGGAGCAAAAAGTTCTATTGATTGAAGTATATTATACCTGCAACAGGCTGTTGCTTCTCTCTATTCTTGGTGTTTGCTTTAGGGATGTCGGATCGAGACAGGTAGACGGTAAGCAGTTCGTGAACCTCTTCAGCATCTGTAGATGGTATTGCTGTGGTGGACTCGTGTGGTACTTCAGTCGTTGTTAGGTTCATTGCCTCTGTCTGAGTCGGCGGAAATGCTTCTGGATGCGTTATATTTACATCTAAACAGAAATTTGAAGGTTCCCATTTTAATTGTCAGCTGTATCCGCGCACTTCTATGTCTAATATCGCAAATATCGTTTAGATCGTCTTTCGAGCAGGAAAGCTGTTAAGTGCTCTAATATTTATAGTTTTTAAAAATGGCCAAGTCTGCACGTACCCACAATACTAATCGTATTGTTAGTGTCTCGTTTTCGGCGTCCCCACGACGGGAATGTACCAGGCCTGCCGCGGTCTGTGCAAATAGCTGGCTCACATGGTCCTCGGCATGTACGAACAGTGGCTTGGAATACGAGCAGATTTGAATCGGGAATCTTAAATGCATAGAATTCAGCCTCGAGAGCACCGTCAGGCGCTTTGTGTAGCTCTGGGAAAACGTATAGATCTACAGGACATCTGTAAAAATCCAGACGCAGGTGTGACACATCAGTGTGTGTTACACTCACCAGCAATATGCGGATTTACAAACAAAGCATTAAAAGAAATGATATGGCGGCGTAATCTTCAAACGTTGGTACTATGTCCGCGAAGAGAAGCAGAATGAGCTGTCTGATGTCCAGTTTCAGGCTAACGAATTATTGGCTGCGAGGAGGGTTATCAGGATTAATAACTAAATCTATCACGTCGTGGCGAATGCAGAAGAGGCGCCTAATCGACACGTATGTTAATTCATTACGCTTCACTCCATTCAGTTGTATCAGTGTGCACTTATGCGACTGAATGTAACGTCTTGAATGACGAACTTGGCCCATGATTAGAAGCAATCTGCCAAAAAAACAATGCATATAGCTACCGGGGCGCCTGATTAAGATCAAAGCACAAAGAAGAAAAGCGGCCATAATTATAGAAGTATTTTTCTATAGTTTTTCTTTTCTCTTTGCGCTTGCGGCCGGCCGCTGGTAGCGTCGCTACTCAACGTAGGTCTTGCTCTGCGAGTGTCGGTCTGTCCCTTCTGCTGACATCCCGCAAAAGTGAAAATGTCTATTTCTTTGATCTGTGGTGGTTGGGAGGTACTAGTGGCGTTTGCCCCTACAGTGTAATCGGAAAATGTTATTCATTGCTGCTTATCGGCTGGCGCGGCAAAGCGTCAGATCAAGTCGTTAGTATAAGAGGCCAAGCGGTAACGATAACGAAAGGCGGAAGAGCTACACGCACTGGTAGGGCTATCGGCGTGAGGCTTCGTTTGCGAGGTGCATCAGTCGTCTGCCGTTGCAGTTGTAGCCGCTCTCACCGCTGCTCGGGTCGTTTCTTGCTGTTTGGCGTCACCGTTTTCGTACGGAGCCGAGCTGCACCCAGAATAGCATGTCGCAAAGGCTGAGGAGCGAGTGACATGTAGCTCCCGCCGCTTCCAACATATTGGCTTTTTTTTCTTTCGAATTTTAAACTGGACGGGTAGAAGGCTAGGAAGATGAAAGGCGACAGCAAGCTAAAAAGAAGAACGAAGAAGCTAGCTTTGTCCGACTTTGTGGCTTAGCAGGACTAGATAACTCCGATAGTGACTTTTGAAGCCTGCTAAAATATACATGAAAGCTATACATATAAAAATTACTAGAGTTTGTAGCGGGTGGAGGCCACAAAGCTTGCACATGGGCCTATCTTAATTAAAAATTATGTTGTGAATTGAATGAACATAGTTGGTATGAAGACACACTAATACATTATAGCACAATCGAACAAATGATAGTATGCTTCCTGCGGCCTGAAAGACAGCTATATTGAAATATAAATAACATATGAGACTACGCATAGTTGGGTATCGAAGCAGCGACGTATTTCTTGTTGCGTACGTACCCTCGTGAGTCGATGAGATGGACTTGTCGTCCAGAATACGGGTCTTTTGCTATCACATTCGTCGCGAATATGTCGTTGTAGAAGTCAAATTGATCTGTAAACATTGCAGAGAAAATCGGCTAAGTTCAATTCGCGTTTGATTCAAAGACGAAGAGCTATTGGTGTTTACATTTACGCCGTGGGGATCGGCTCTGCCATTCGTTACCCCTTTGCTATTGCAATAAAAATTGTTTCCACCGCTGCTTCCCTCCCTGACAAGTCAAAGTGCGACTAAATACATGATGCGTTGGGAGGTGTCGGTCTTGAGCCCGGTGCCCCGTTGACTAAATGATATCCTCACTCAGGAGCCTCGTAACTGTTCAACATCAGCAGATGTCGTCCTGCTGATGTCGGTCTATTACATTAACCTAGCGTGCTGTGGCGCCATCGCCCGCCATTCGCAAATGGGACGCGACACGTACTGAGGTGATAAACAGACACAAGCTCATACATGGCGACAGAGCACCGTCGATGCAAGGCGATTAATAAGTGAAAATGTATGGTTCATGCAAGCCCCGTTTCTCGTCGCAGCTACACCGACCCACTTTAATCGCGTTTAATTATCCATTTTTTTGTTATTGTTGTTTTTACAAGTGTTCGAAGTTCTCATACAGACTTCCTTCTGCTTAATGTAGAACGACACGTTTAGTAACCCAACGATGAACATGGGCCCAGGTTTTTAAATCAGGTTAACATAAGCAATACAATTACAATACAAGTACAAACCGTATGCAACATAAATGTAGGACAAGAGCTTGCGTTACGTAATGCATGATAGGAGTGGCAATGAAATAGCATCGTGTTGATTTTCAGAGGTAATTTTGCTAACTTTTGTATTATACGTGGTAATACATGTGGCAGTAAGGAAACATTCTATTGCGCAAGTCTATAGGATATCAGAAAGACCGTTGATAGTCTGGACGCGGCGAACATAGCGCATAGGACTAAGTGTCTGTATTTGGTCGCTCGGCAATACAGCAAGGTACATTGGGCGTCCAGTAAAGCCAGATATACGGAGTGGTATTTAGGCAATGGACTGTCAACGTGGGTTGACCTCAGTCACGATGTCTAAGTTGAGATAGCTAGAATTCACTTGAATCCGCTGTATCGAAAAGTTCGATTCGGCTACAAGATGGCGTGAGTCAAAATTTACATTCACATATTCATTTTGTTGAATTGTTTTCGCATATGTAATTTATTCTTATAAAGGCTGAGGTTCGAATAAACTAAATTTAAATTTAAATACTGATATTTCTCTGGATGTTAAAACGTACATTTTCCTCGCGCCTCCAATCGGAAGGTAAGGAGATCTCCAACAGCAATTGTGGTAGTTGGAGTACCTCGGTAAAGAATACGCAACTGGACGTTGGATGTCAAGATGTTTTGAGCTGGCAAATGCTCAATCTGAGTGGGGTATCTCCTGAAAGATTTCGATGAAGGCCTGTGAAGCAAGGTTAGCGTGCTCTGTTCTTGAGGCTTAACTCTGCCCGCGGATCGTTCTTTAGCCCCGCTGACATAAAACAAGTGTGAGCCAAGACCTCCCGGCTGATTTAAAGCCGTTTAGTGCCGTTAGAAAAACAGACGAAGAGAAAAACAATAAGTCACCTGGATAAAGGAGAGCGAAATCAGGATGGGCATCCACGAACTCCTTGAAAGGAAAGATGTTATTTTCCCTTCCAGCAATTTTTCGTGCCCGCACAATTGTTGGAACCTATTCAGTATCAGGTGTCATGCAACAATTCCTTCCAATCAATAGGTTCATGTGTAAAATATGATGATGAAACCCATTCATCATCTTATTTTTCAAGTAGATTAGCAATCTGGTGCGTGCTGTCACCCTTACCGATACAGGATGTCCAAGATTGTAGTAGCTTCTTAATGTGTCATAGGTAAGCTTTTTAACCAACGTTAAATAATCTTTCAACATACAGTTATTCTTGAACATCCTGTATGTATTTCTTATATTCTCTATATATAGCACAGTACATCATAGGTTTATATACATATACATATGGACATAAAGGGTCAAGGGCACATACGAGAATTCAGAAAGTAGGTTTACAGTTGACATAGGCATTGGGAAAAAAAGGGTATATGCGCAAATCATTTCCAAACGAATTTTTTGCAGCGTTGATGGTAAAAGTTTCAGATATATGGACTTCGAAGCTATCAGAATGCGCACGTCTAGTCCTTCTCGCATTTGCACACGAAGATATAAACATGTTGTAGATAACAGCAAAAACAGCTACTGATAAAACTCATGCTGTCAAGGATTGACCTCACTGATGCCACATATAGAACAATATGAATTAAATCAGACCAATAAACCTTAAGCGGCTCAAATTTTCAGTGGTAAGCAGATGTGTACTAGTAGCGCATAGCAGAAACAGTAGCGAACTTTCCATTGTTTTTCCCAGGTTTTCTTGTAAAGAACGTCCACAGGCTACCTACATTTATTCTGGTGCTATCCAGCCTCCACTGAAACTCACCCCTCGACCCGTGTGTCGAGATAATTGGACGTGACCACCGCTTCGCCGGGTCCCGAAAGGAAGCACGTCAGGTTGTACTTTTTATCGCGAGAGGTTTGTACATAGTCATTAAATTGCACCACGACTATATTGGTCATGACGTCTCCGTATTGCTGAGTTCCGCAGCGAGGAAATCCGTTGGCGCGTGAGATGCGCAGGACATTGACGCTACCGCCATTGCCGTCATAGAAGCACGAGTCATAAAATCCGTATGTGTAGATTCGGCCGTAGAAACCCTCAACAGTTCGAAGGGTGAACTCCATTCCGTCTGGGGTACACGACTGGCTCACTGAGCAAAGGACACAAAAAAGACAACGCGATGCACACAGTCACGATATGAATTAAATGGAAGCTTGTTTTGTTTTGTTTTCATTAATTTGCCATGTTGCATGAAAGGCCATGTTAATTCAGTCGATTTTCCAATATTTTCAGTACTCGTAGCGGTAAATTACGTAGCACGGTGCCACGAAACGAATTCAAATGAGTCTTGTCTGTGTTCTGCAGAACAATTTAATGTTCGATGCCAAGAATCCCCTTGTTACTAACTGACGCATAATAGATAATAGTTTTTCCTTCTGGGGATCCATTTCTGAACAACGCTATGCATATGTCAGCAGATGAACTTCTTACTCAAATATAGGACACATTTATAGGCCTTTAGGCCCCGCCTATTTAAACAGCTGCTGCTAATGATTTTTCGAAACGCTTCGAGAGAGCTGAACATGTAGCGATAATATTCAATGCCTTTTTGCCTATTTAACTGTTACCTGTTGAAAACAATGTAATTACGAATAAACCGATGCGTTTCTTCTAGTTGATATTAGCCATTTTAAACAAGTTCACCATATTTTTGGCTGACAGTGTCCTTCTAGCCTTTTAAGCAGTTAAATAAAAATTCGGGCCTTTAAGCAAAATACAATAACTTGGAAAACTACTGATTTTCCAGTGATCGATAGTCCTAATGAGAACAGGAGTAATCCGTGTTAGGTATTGCAGTACGCAAGCGGTTACGACTATAATATGAATAAAATCATAGCATTTCCATATCGTAATACCGTAAAGGCTTTGCGTTAAACGGACAGGAGCAATAACCCTAGTCTTACATAAGTTCCCTATGAAAAGCTGATGGCAAATGATCGTGTTGGGAACCGTTCTATTTCTGGCGATATTCATGGCGTGTGTTGGAACGTCTAATGGTAATTTTCGTCTATCTAAAACAAAGTATGTAATAAATGTAGCAGATTTTTTTAAACCGCTCACGTTCTATGCATGAGCATTGGCGACCGCACGCCGATAAGGGCTATAAACAGGTAAAAGTAACACTAATAATAATGGTAGTCAGCGTTGCCAGTTCTATAGATACGCATATTTGTTGAATAAGGAACAAAGCTATTATCTCCTACGACTAAAGAAAATGTTATATAACAGAATCTATTTACTTTAAAGGCTAGAAAGGAGCGGTCTTGCGCAAGATTAAACATTGCGAGCACGGGTGTTCTATTCATTCAGTTCAGTAGGCGTCACAATACATAAACATATAAACTTTCCCTAGCTCTTTTGATTTCGTCGAGAAACTACCGTCGCTAGAATTTTCGTTGTCAATATTGACAAGGCAACGCTGCGCGTTAGACCCCCTCACAGCTTGACTTATATTAAATGGGGCAATATATTGAATAAGCCAGTCAATCTAGCTTTCGATGGTTCCTTGCGTAGAAGATTTTGCTCGACCTTGTCCATATCGATCACTGACTATTTATTGTGAGTAGGCAAATAGGCAGAGGATAATGTGGCTGGCAAGATGAAGGCGATATTAATGCATCAGGTCCGTTTCATTTAGGAGACTGCAAACTTCATCATTATAATAATCAGTTTAACTATATACATATATATATGACGTAGCAAACGAAGTTTGATAGCAAAATGGCGTGAGTTCTTAGAGGAACAATCATTGTTTACAACTCACCATCAAGGCAATCACCTCCTCCGCCCGTTCCGAGATCGTCTCTTTCGAAATAGTCGAAATTTGTGTTGGGGTCAAAATGTGAGGGGTTAGAAAGTTGCAACTGGCGAGAATCAAAGTCGGAGAGTTCGCAATTTTCCGATGAATAGCTTGTGGCTAGTTGCGAACGCAGTGTGGCCGGCGGTGATGAACCGGCACTTGTTGTTGAACTTCCAGAAGGCGAAGCGACTCTGAAAACGTAAACGGTTTCAACTTAATGTACCAGTTTCCTCTAATTAAGCTGCCAAAACTGGATTGGGACGATTATGTTGAGAGTTTATTGTGACCATGTTAGCGGCTTAAAAATAACTCGAACTTAAGTATTGTCTCATTATACTAAGTGATGCCCTAAGGCCAAGCTGAAGCTAACAAAGTTAATGCTTCTCTGCCAAATGTGTTTACAGAAGACCATGCGTTTTAATGTTAATTTTGTCGGAAATAAAATTGTGTTTCATCTGTCGTTCGTAGCATTATTACCATAAATAGTTTAACTTATTCCCATCTATTCCCTAATTAGCAGATTGGCCTACTGTAAGAGAACCCACCTGTAATTAAACGACCTGCACTGAATGTCACGAGCCTCTGCGCAGGCCGCCTCACAGTCATCCAGACGCTCGACTCGCAGAGCGCGCCGTATGTAGAAACTTCGTAAACGTGTGCCGTATCCGACGCGGCGGAAGGCGGCGATGGATGGACGGCAACGTTCTCCATAACCTAATTTATGAGACCATAGAAAAACATCTATAAAATAAACCGTCTCATTGTGAAGCGCATGTTATAAACGGCTTCCTTTTTTCTATCTTCAACAAGACCCCTGTGGTCAAACTATGCAAGTTCATGTTTGATGTTTTTGAAAAAATTATTTTCCAAATTTTCTATTTGTACACTTGATGGGTTCACAGATTTCCAGTTGCTCAGATTTAACAAAACGGGCGCATGTTTCTTAATCACTGAAAAGATGAGATCTTTTTCATTCGTTTCTGAATCTATTCATGATATACTCTAACATATCAAGCATTCCTAATCAACACCTTTCCTTTTCCATAAAATACGGTTTTACATGGTGCCCAATTATGTGGGGCGCGCAAAGGCATAAGTTAGACCCAACTCACTGTTTACCGCCTACTCATTGAAGGTAAACGAAGCGTAAAGAGCTCAGCACGAAACGATCGTACTCGCAATGTCATAACGTAAACAAACCCTAATTCACTAACTCTCGTTGAAAGACCAAGCTACTTCATATAGTCATCGACTCATTCGTGCTTATGTAGCTTTGTATGATACGGCGTACACTGCTCGTCCCTCTTAAGGTTGTGTGCCTGTGCGTGTGTGTCTGTACTCAGGCTACTACGCTGTTACGTACGTCTCTGGGTGCACCTGTATCGTTGTCTACTGGTATGTGTAGCAGGATGTGAGTGCGTCTTCGTTTTGGTACGCTACCTACCTCCGGGAGGGAAGGGTGGATGAGGTGGTCCGAAGGGGGTATTGTACGGTGGGGTCCAGCCGGAACTACTTCCTCCGATGTAGCTCCCGCTCCCTCCATAACCTGTTGAAGAGGGCACTGGTAGGTTGCTAGGAGACGCGGTCCTCCCATGGATTCTACGCATCACGACCCGGCGAACCCATAGGCAAACGAACAGAACCCAAATCGGTAGTTGTCGGCAAGAGAAGGAAAACAGTGGAGTAGCAGCGGGACATGGGCGCAGTAAGCAACCGTCAAGTAGACAGAAGAGGTGAAAACATTATATGTCAGGCCGTTGTCGACAGCGGTAACAGATCAGCACGGCGCAGCGATAAACAGGCACCAATACGGGCAGACGAGCGATGAAAAAGCAGTAGCCGCAAAAACGAGAGGGGTTAAGCAAAAAAAAAAAAACATAAAAGAGAAAGCTTGTGGTGCGAAAATAAGTACAGCTTAGAGCAGCTCTACGCCTTTTGTTTCAGGACCTTGAAGAATTCGACCAAAAGGGATACGTGGAAAAACAAAAACAGCTGATGACGATGACAACTAACACTATTGTTATGGCAAGCGCTATATAGAAGAAAAGAAGTAGGTGGAAGATATAATAATAAATGAGCAACTAGTTAACCTACTCTATGTTTACCAGGTCGCGAACACGCGGATGCAATAAAGTTCAATGTTGTTTTTTTGATAGCTCGTTTCCTGCTCGTTCCCAATACTTTTCGCCCATCTAGGAGGATTTACAAACTTCCAATAGGAAAATAAAGAACGAGACCTGTAAAAGCTCTTAGCGTACCTTCAAGGACGACATAACTGATTGTGAATACGAATTGCCTATACAGACTAGAAGTGTCTTTTGCGAAAGCTTTTACTAACTTGCGATTGTAAAGTAAAGCGACGTGAATCATTTGTTGTTTTTATCGTGAATTCTTTCGAGATCTTTTTGAAATAGTCTACTTTTTATCGGCGATAGATTAGAAGGCCGTCAATTATGAAAGGCCAATTGTCAAAGTGAAAGAAGCCTTCTATTTTAACTAAATGGCGAAGTTCCGGAAAAAAAAACCTTTTAGAGGCATCTTGTTTACTTATTTAAGTAAAGTTTGTGATCGTGAGGTATACATACATCTCTACCATAATCTTAGTCTAAATGATTTTGTTAATAGTAACCACAATATGTATTTACCGAGAATAGCAACTACAAGATCTATATATACATTTGCTAAACCAGATATCAACTTTAGCCCGTTTCATACGCAAAACTAAACGCATAAAGAACATATACTGTAATGTTATATTTTAACATATATTGTAGTAAAATTGATTCGTTTAGAACTTCCACTATTTCATAAAGCCATCACTGTTAACCACTTCACTAATGTATTAGTTGAAAAGGTCCGATTGTGCAGTGAGGATAAAAATTCATGTTTTTCTCCTAAATTATTACACTATCTCCTTGCAAATTATATGTTAATCACACTTACCCGAATTTAGCCGCGTACAGATCACTCCATCCGCCTCCCCAAGGTGGATAGTTGAACGAGCGATGACTTGGCGTCCCAACGTAGCCGCCCGACCCGCGCCAGCCTGGATCGTAGCCACCCGATCCGCCATAACCCCCACCAACGTAACCGGCTCCATAGCCTCCATACGGGGGTTGCGTTGCAATGGGTGGACCCCAGCCCCCACCGCTGAACCCGTCACGCCTTTGCGGGTACGGGCCGTCAATAAAGTTCTGAGAAATCGGTGGATGGCCAGGATGGTACGAGGGCTGGTGGAACGATGGGGGGTACGGAGGTAGCGTCTGGCCGTAGGGAGGACTCCACGTGTGGTGGTGATGTGAAGACCCGTGCGCCGTATTGTGGCTGCGATCTGTAAACCCGTCTGGGTCCGTTGTACATCGACTTTGCTTAGTTGGCAGAGCGGGGCGGGTTAGATAGGCAGCCCACGCCAAGGAAGCACAGCCGAAACGAAGTACCGGAAAAAGGATGGTAGTATAGAACAAAAAGAACGAGTGGAGAAACGCGGCGAAAACACAAACAATCTTGCAGGTAACAGGTGCAATTACAACTTTAGCACCTAGAGCTAGGGCAATTTTCTAATTTTTTGGCTAAACTCTAATGGCTACGTCCGAAACTTCCTATCCCTTCATTCAACTGACCACAGAACACTGACTAAATGCTTTCGAGTAGTAGGATAATAGAGGCTCGATCTTTCAGAATCGACTCGTTCAGTGGGAAGGAACGGGGTTCGCACAACAGCGGAAATCTATTGACCTCACCCTTAATAACATCACTTTTGTCTCATTCTAGTAGCGATGGGTGCCTGTTCCGCCTTGCGTGATCGGCCACTTGCGTAGAAAAGAGAGAAGATCCCAGAACTCACGAAGGCCACCCACTCCTAGTAGACATTCCAAACGATAGATAGAGAAAGTAAGCGTGACCAAAGCAGGTTTATAAAAGGGTTTCAGGTACAGACAGTTGGATACTGTTCGTTGGATGGAAGCTCAAAACAGAAAAGAACCAATCGAACATTGACAAACGGGTAGAAGGCACAATAGTAAACAGTGACAGCTACAGAAGACGATATAGAAGCGGCCGTAAGATAATAGGCAATGTACTTGAAGATAGCGCAGGAAAAGCGCATCGCGCATTATAAGAAGAAATGGCAGTAAAAAAACAAAAAGACGAAACGCTGCAATATGCGTACCCAATAAAGATACCGGAAAAGGAATCAGGTACGAAATCTGAAGAGATTTGAGGAATGAAGGACATTCAAGACGTATGTGATAATCGTTATTCAAGAGACCAATGCTGGTCTTCGTGCGCGACTCAATCCAACAACAAAATAAAAAGGAAAAAAAGGACGCACAATGTAGACATCAATGTAGAAACTGAGATGATGCAGTGAATAGGACACAGCCTGAAAGCTGTCCCGGTTTAATATGGCTTCCGAATTGTACGTTTCCGGTTTCGTCCGTTGTATTCCTCTACTTTGTTTTTCTCAATTCTGTCTCTAAAACAAGTTGAACCCATGACTTCTACCGGAGCGACAACGCATAGACCCGTCCCCATGTTGCAGTGTAACGTAAACGTGGGAGAAATAGAAAGTGGGTTGAATTTGGCGCACAGGACGAGAAGATTCACAAAATCGATAAACACTAGCATGCGCCGTGAAGTATCTTCTATTATTGTATTTGTGAGCTACTAGGTTTGTACAGCATGGATAACTGTATACGCTCATAGGAGTGTCTAATATAATAAGCGAGAATGAGAGACAGAAAATAAAAAAACAGGGAAAGAAATGGAAAGCTAGAGTTAGCTAACAACGTCCACACCTTGACAATTGCTTCATACGGCAATTATGAGCGTGGGGCACGTGCGTGCAATCTCGTTAATATGAGCCGAGCAAAAATAACTCGGAAAGTTAGAATGACTCGTCCTAACGTTGTTAAGATCCCTCTATGGATATATGTGACAGTAGGAGTTGAAGTCATATATTGCATACATACTGCGTAGTAGGCTTGTTAGCAGCCATCGACTGTCAAACGGAACTGATCAAGTGCGAAAGTGGATACTGAGAGGCAAAACAGAGCGTGTGGGCATGTGCTATGGGGCGTTTGAAAGTGCTCGTGTTTGTGCAATGGTATATGATCTCGAAGAATGAAAAATAACATAAATCAGCCTACCTTTCTCACTGGCACCGCAAAGCACGCGATACAGGTCTCCTGAGCTAGGTTTAAGTGGCTTGCTAACACTCTCGCCACCTTCGGTGAAGTCAAGTGGATCTTCATCGTACAGAGTACACAGGCGAAGTTTGTCTTCATAGAGAAATGATCTGGTGTAATGAGATATAGAGAAATAAACGGGACAATTAACCAGCATATGGGTTATACCTGATTGAAACCACTCAAAAATGCCTTCAGGCGCATTAACGCTCTCCTCAACCTTTCTTTGTAGTGCTGCTTCTCAGCTATCTACCAATTGTTAATGGTTAGCAGGTATTACTGCCTAGTTTTCTAAGGACAGTGAAGAACGTATGCATAGATGAGCGTTCATATAACTATTGAGTAGAGTTTTATCGTGTCAAGGGCATGATTTCAGTGTAATGAAGTGAGACATGTCAGATGATGAGTTTCAATAGGTAATCAATCGTTTATCCACGGTGATTTAGCGTAAGTTCGCTATTATAAATATTGTACCATCTTTTCGTGCGGATATTATCTGATTTAATAAGGGTCGGTATAATATATCGTGAACTCCCCGAAATGAACCTGCAGAAGAGGCCGCGTTCAGTGAGACTGCGGGTGCAGTAGTTCGAACATTCAGTTAGGTCTCGAACAGGAACTACTTCACGTTCGAATGCCCCATCCAGTTCTTTGCCACTTTCCAATATCAGAGCTGTTGTGGTACACATTTGTGAACCTGCTTGAAACATAAGACATACATAGTATTTAGTATCGTAGTATTTCCTCTATAACAGCTATGGTTGGTAAAAGTTACCGAAATAACAAAATGTTAAATTTAAAACGAATTTGCGTTGGGCTTATTTTACCGGCGTATGTATCGCTTTTCTCTCGGCTGAGGCCAATCGACAATTTGTGCCATTTTTCTCTGGTCGTTTCACAACAGAGGCGTGCGGAACTATAACACACCGCTGAGGACAACAAAATGCTTTCATTGCGTTGATAATCAATTAGTGAATGATCGAACCACAATCGGCGCTACTTAGTTTTCAAGTGGCCCTCGTCTTCCTGCCTGACAAGCGACAATCACCACCACGGCTCAAGACGACAGACTCGTACTGGAGCGCAGGTTACGAGGAACTTTCTGGACTTCAAAAAGCCAGGCAATAAAATTACCAGTTTGCAAAAAGCGTTAGTAGAAACGGGCGGCCTTAGAAAGTTTGGCGATGAATTCAAGTCTGTGTCCTGATCGTTTTTTAGATGTGGCCGTAATGCAATTCCAGCTATGAAGTATACGTTGACTTAGCTGTAGGCTATCTTCTTATACGGAATAAGCGCAAATAGTGATACCTTTGAAGCACCCGAATATAACTCATATATGTATGCACATATATATATACTAGACAGTGATGCAAAACTTAGCTCAGTATTATGTTATAAAACGCCAAGAGGCAAATCAAGTGAAAAAGTGTACCTGAAAAACGTATACTTACTCGGAAGGCAAAGATTCTCCATGTAGTCGCTTTGCAGATCTTGTCTGAACCCCCGAGGGTTCATGTACCTCGTTTCGGAGCTGAGACGACACGTTTGTCTTTGTCGGTTGTACGACGCTGATCGACAGGCGAAGAGAATTTCATTGAGGCATTTGTCTTCACATTCCGTTCGATTGGAAGCGATCACCTCTTTATCACCAGCACTCTCGAATCGATAGCCGGGCGTACGATCGAACACGTAGAGCCGATTGGGGCATTCAGATTGTAATTTTCCCGCTAGACGATTTATTATTAAGTGAATACATTAAGCAGATGAAATGTAATATGTTTTAATACGATATAGTATTAATACGTAACTGATAAGTCTAAAAGTAGGGGTCTACAAATGCTTCACCAATGGTGTCTTCTCCTGCTTTATGCTGCACCTGTTGAAAACCGTAATTTTTGAGCTGGATTTAGCGTGCTAGTCGCAGCGTGGGTGGCAGTAAAAGGGATCATCATGAATATTTGTTTTTATGCACACCTTACTTTTGTATGTAATCGATTCTGTTTTACCATCTGCTTTGAATTTTGTCTGGCGGTTTTTTACGCCTTCAGATGTAGACATTTCGATGCCATGATCAGTTGCATTCGGAAGGTGTCGCATCGTTAACACTTACTAACTGCTAGTTATACTGGAGCATCTTTTTAATAAGGCTGGTGATGCTGACTTCAAAATAAGTTCAAAGCAACCCATAAATCGTGTATGCCAGAAACAACCCGTTGCTGTATCGCGTTAACTACCTTATTTGGATTTCTGTATTACTTTTTTATTTATTTATTAGATCGTCGCGTGCTTTGTTATATTCTTCTTCTGTTCTTGAATGCTTTTTATTCGTCCCTCGTAGATCAGATAAGGTTGTCTCGGTGTTTGTAGTTGAAGAACGTAAGCTATCACTTTTCCCGATAGTAATCAATTTGACTAGGTATATAATTATAACTAGGTAAATTCAATGACGCTTCTGAACCATAATCATTTCTTTCATTTCCTTAGATGATCACAATGAGTGCTTATCGTTTGCAACAGTTCTTTATACACCGAGAGAAATTAATCTGAGCGGAAAAAATCTTCATATAAAGCTCTCCTATCTTCAGAACGGTTAGCTATATTAGGAAAGATAATCGTCGCACATATAACCGTAAAACACTACTGGCAGATTTCTCACGAGAAAATTGTTTCAGCATGAATTTATATCTCTCTTTCTTTTGTCTCTGTTAAGATTCTTAGATAATAAAGCAACTCTTCCATATACGTTAGGAACTAATAATAGAATACTGTTACACACAGGAAAGGCAAACTTCATTGTAATGCCACGCATTATTTTGGCGGACGAGGGATTCCGCTCCGTCAGGTTGCGACCTGTCGTAATACAGGTAGCAGACAGACTGCTTGAAATCCGGCGGAGTTGACGCAGTGGCACCTCGAAGACGTCCTGGCATAAAGTCGAACGAAAGGCAATGCGTTATAGCTGTAGTTTGATCCTTTTGACATCGGCGAACACATTCCTCGAGAACTTTAACCGGTTGTTCAGATCGAGTAATCTGTAACGAACATAAAAACAAAAATAATACGCGGCGTTACCTATTCAACCAAGCGTCCAATAGTGAGGTACTGTTCTGAACGAAACGTAACTAAGATATGCAAAATCAACTCTTCCATATACCGAAAACAGTGAATTATAGTTGTAGAACACAGTAGAATCGATTATTTAAGCTATAACTCGTAAGATAATGTAAAGCGTAACACAAAGCCTTTATAAATGACAGCCCATGGAACATTGTTAGCGGGTTCATTTCATTCATTCATTGATAATGGCAAAAGTTAGAATGGTGCGTGAATTCTTATTGGTTTCTCCTTGTAAGTGGGAGCTCCGAGCGAGCCCAATATAGGCGCGAACTTTTCTACCCTTAGTAGACTGCAGAGAATTTTACAAAAATTCTCTGCAGTCTACTAAGTTCTCTGCAGTTCTAGTTTAAGATGATTCATATAGCAGATTGAAAAACTTACGTGAGTCAAGTTACTTACATTTTATATCTAGGCCCTTTACTTAATTCCTGCAAAACTTATTGACCAGCCGCTATTGTGGGAGGTAATGTTGTCGAGGGAAATTCTAATATTAACGAATTGTGGTGGAAGTATCATACTGGGTTTGTAATCGTCGCGCAATGCGTCATTAACAACAAAGGCCTATTCTTCCCTGAAAAATGTTGAAGTATAATCTTACAGCATCGTTTGGAGGATCCAAAGGAAAAGCTCTTTCTAGCATGTGGTGGAAATCAGGATTTCATTATGCTTCACTCCCCATTTCAACTCGAATTGTGTAGTCGTTGCAGGGCAAAAACGGGTATTACCATGGACGTTCGATTTATTTATTTAATAGTAGTCCTGAGATATGCAGTAGGGCCGGCTACCACATCCCCTGAATCTAGGCGCGTTGCGTTCCTTTTTACAGCCACTTATTATTTGCAGGATCGATAACAGTTACGTTAAGTTTGACCTGGGCTAAATTTCTCCTTGCTATACAGATTGATCAAAGCCAGGACACCTAAGGCTGTGTTTCAAACAAAATTTAGAGATCGCTTATGAGCACTCCGCTCCCTCGGAAAATTCCCTGCCAAGCTTAACGAAAATAATTACAGTTGGCAGCGTTGTTATTTTAGGTAATCGTATTTGCTCGCTAATCGGGTCCACTGCCGAACATCTAGGAGAAGCTCCCGCAATCTTGTTATCATCTCGAGGACATTTTCCTCAAGTAGAGTGACCACCCCCCGCCCATGATTCGATAATGAGTAATAGTGAGAAGTAGTTTTGTTTGTGAAGAGCTGAATCATATAGTTACAGTAACGGTTACACTGTGGGCGACCGTGGCAACTGTGGAGTCCCAAAAGCTAACTACGAAAATGTGCTAGAATAGGATACAATGGGTACGTATGGTCCCCACTACTTTTGTATGCAAATACGATACACAGATGTGGTCTCTCTTCCACCGTCTTCTCTAATAAGATTTAAAGCGATGCTAGTCCATGCGTTAGTGACAATCCTGACGGTTTATGTTATATTTGTTGGTCGTATCAGCAACACTTGAGACTTGCAATTTCATGTGTTCAACAGAATCATACTAGATGACCTCTAAAATAATATTAAGGTCCGTTTTCGAGGGTGATTTGATAAAAAATATTATCAGGATATAACTAATGTCTGAAAAAGCTAATAGTAACATAAAGCTTCTTCTTCTGTGCGCTCTAACAGCATACGCGTATAGTTTATCGAATGCCAAAAGTTGCAGGCCCTTCAGAACAAGTTTCATCCTCAAAAAAAAACATGATCTTACGCACTGATACTCCCTTACACCGTCTCCGAATGTTGGACGTTTTTCTTCTTACGAAGCTGGCAACCTCAAGGCTATCGTTGAGTGAAGTAATCAATCAATGGAATTATAAAGTCGAACAGAAAGCTATCGCGGACACGCATGCCTGCTTCTCCAAAAATCAATTGGCCTTTATAAATCGACTACAATGAAACTAATCAATATAATGGAGAAGCTCGCAGATACAGAAGCAGTTAAATAAAAAGAAAAAAATGTTCTTTGCATATTGCCATCTTACTAGTACAATAAAGAGCTGCAGTTTATGAAAACGCTCGCGTCGTGTTCAGGCTTGCGTCGGTGTACGCCAGGACTGAGAACACAGTGAGTAGACCTAGTAATCCTGAAATATAGATAAAGGCCTTATGGTATTTTGAAATTTTTCGTTCATTAAGGCGTCGTCTTTATTCTAGCATATGCGAAATTGTTGAGTGACCAATAGACTGACGAGGGTGGTGGGAAACAAAGAAAAAGGTTATCATTTATTGACGACGATTGGGAGCTGTTCAGTGTGCTACTGTAGTGAAGTCTACAATGAATTTGCTTACGCAGTAACTTTTTTTAGAACTTACTTAAAATGAATAAGTGAGTGAACGCAAGAAAATAAAAACATTGGAACACATAGGTAATGCTACCTTTCACTATGATTTTATAGGTTAGGCTTCGACTGGTGAAAAAGGAAGGTATTATTGTGTTTTCGGGCCATGTACATTTTCTTTAAGTGCTTTTAGAAAAGATCCGCTTGGACATTGTTTAACACTCTGCTAATTATTATAAAGCCGCGTTAAACAGTAGCCCCAATTAGGCCAACAATCGGATCCGAATTAACTTTTGACTCGTAAGTTCAATTGCAGTATTTGTGTAGAAGTTACCATATGTCGTCTAACAGGATTGTTGCTCGAATAAATGCTCCAGGGATTCAAATTGTCGTTTGTCTACTTCGCTGTCCTTTTACCACAGAATCAAAGACCATAGTCGATATGACTCAGTGGTGTACTTTTGACAATGGTATAATGCTGTCAAAGCATAAATATGTGATGGTTCATTGTCTTTAACCATAATACATGACCGTTACTAAAATTTCTTGTGATTTTCGGATCATGATAGTAAGCAATCAGCATATCCAAGGCAAATTACGCATGACTGACATGCGGGTATTTAAGGAGACAATCCTTTTCATGAGCTTCGGTCGTTAGCCTCTGTTTGAAAGCAAGCTTTGCGTTAAATTCGCGTGTCCTGATTCAGAGGAGCTATCTTATAATACTAGGTTATTTATCTAGGACCTGCTCACTAGGTGAGACGCTTGTTAAGACCATGATTTTAACTGATTTTTATCATACAGAGATTAAGGTTGGGTCCGTAAAATGATTTCAAATGACAAAACAGTGTCATAAGCCTCGTGAGTTTTGGGCTCGACATACCTCAGAACAAATTTCATCCATTTAAATCCAATTTTGTTGGTCTTCATTACTCACAAACGACTTAGCATTGTGTCGATATAAAACTTCTTTAGAAGAGATTCGTTCTCCTATTTTCAATCGTCCATTTCGAGTCCGAGTTAATATAGAAGCCCGTTTTTACTAGTGCAATGCAATATGAATATACTTCTGAGAGAACAGAGACACCTGAAAAAGCTGGCAGAATATACGTGACTGTATCCTTTTCAAGCTGTCAACCAAAAACACACACTGTCTACGTTTGATAGGGCACGATTTATCTACGGTTCGTAAAATATCAGCCTGCGGATAATATTTTATATAGACAGAGGTTCTCGAATGCATTTAATGGAAACGCATTCTTTTTCTTTTATTGAAAAGAAAAAAACAACGGACAGACACCTACGTAAAACGAATTTCTTAGATCTATACGAATACCTCGCCCGGGACAGCGAGCAATTCATACTGAATAATCAGTATCATCATTCATGAATGATGATGCTGATTCACTTTCGTAATTAGAAGCTGCAGAAGCTAACTGTCGTTCAAATAGAGAGCAAAGGGCACGCGCTGCAATACCAGGTGCCCTCTTTTATGTGAAACAGGTATAGTTCTACGAGCTAGTAGGTAGTGAGTGAATCTTAAAAGCGCCAAATTCAAGCTTACATTGCTCGTATTACAAAACCTGAACGGGGTAACAAAATTTAATATTATATCACTAATTAATATTTTATGAAAATACATTTCTAATAAGATATTATATATATATATATATATATATTTACAATAAATTTCTCTTGCTACAAAAGCACTTCCCAAGGAAGACTTGACCCGGAAAAACTGTTATGTCTGTATCTTTGCTCGAATAAGTACTTTTCCAAATTGAGCACGTCATTACCATGTTTCACGATCTCGTGCCGGAGTTTCTAAGTATTAGCTTAATAATAATCCTTCGTAAAATAGCAGCCGATATGCGTGAAATGGTTTTACAATCATCGTTAAGAGCGCTCTCCATTAAGGCCATTTTCTAGCGATTTATTCAGCAGGCGATGTCAAATATTTTAGAGGTCAGACGTTTCATTCGTTCATAAGACTGCAGAGAATACGGAAACTAAACTGAAATGACGTATGGAATACAGGGATTCTGACCATGGGCGTGTTACTTTTCAGCAAACCAACGCAAACGAAGTATGTGAACTAATGGTTTTTCTTTCTGGACGTCCGGTTACAAGCGCAGCTAAGGCTCCCTGATAGACCTAGTTTCTAATTAAAACTTAATTCTGAATGTCGTTCGGGGTTTGCGTATGTTCCGTTGGTTTGTGAACGCTAGCAAAATGTTGTAAAGTAAATTTATTCTATTAGAAAAAAGTCGCCACCTCCTAATATAGTTTTTTCTTTACTCTATACACGGATGAACGGATGTTTTTTCGGGCATCTGCAAATGATTAAGCACGTTTAGGCTCGATATTTATTAGGCCGAACCCTGTCTAGTAAGCAGGCTATTACCGTGTATTTATACATTAGGTACCATCCTTCGAATGTTTCGATTTACTAGCTGCAATCGAAAATATTAAATTTATTTCTGAATCTGTACATAAGGTACTAACTCAAACGTCCTCGTTAGATTCATCACGTGCGGCATTATTAGAGAGATCTACAATGACTGACGAGCAGGCCAAACATGATTTGGACTTGATCGAATATTGTGCATCATTAGAATTATCACGACTTAATAATTTAGATCAAATTTAAAGTGATCCTTGCCGGCGGTGATCGTCGTGCAGGAAAAGGCATTGTGAAAGAACCACGTGTCCATGAGAAGTATCCATGCTATTGTGTATTGCGCTATTTCAGTTCTCTGGATGTAAGAAAATATTGAAAAATGTATGGGTAAAAAGGACTCGGAACATTCAAAACAGTACATTGATACAGTATAAATATGTGGAGGGACATTACCGATCTATAGTTTAGCTCTTCAGTAGGTATGAGTCACTGTGTTTTAACTAATGCTACTAGGTGACGAATAATGGGGACTGAAAACTCTTACGCCTACGGTTGTTGTTTACCGCAGCAGACGACATTCAGTCTAAAGATAAAGCAACGTGGAAATATACGATGCGCTGTTCATCAAGGGGGATTAGTGGTCTTCTTAGAAAACCAACTAGGTATGCTGTACGGCAAATCCCTGCTCCTTAAAAGCTTGGGATTGCACAAGTTGGCGCCGTTTCATGCTATGTTAAACTGTTATACATACCAACTCTACACGCTGCCTTCCTCCGCTGAAACCGGCACTAAGTTTATAGTCTGAAATTTTCTCATAAACCAGTTTTCCCAATCCATTGTTGCACGTTTGGGCTGAAACGAAGCACAAATTCAGTTTAGTACGCGGGGAAAATTGGCAATAATTATCAGCATCGCGAACTTACCATTCTGATTACTGTTATTTACTGCTAAAACTATTACTTGAGCCGATCCGTCAAGTAAGCGTTTATAACAGGTTCAACCGTCTGAAAGGTTTTTCTACGGTTGTGATTATTTGGTATTCATTTCATGTCCGTCATAGTTGATTCTACTGAAAAATAAACGTGGTTGGGGTAACAAAGTCTCAACTCGTCGGGAGGTAGATGGCAATTTCGAAATCGCAAGTAAAATATGCGCCGACGACGACCGTACCTTTCTGCGATGTGACTTGTCATATAGATAATGTTAAAGTGTTTGTGCGTTCTATTATTATTAATTGAAAGGTACATGAATGATAGGAAACACTCTTCTTTAACAAACATCAGGTTGCCTGACAGCTGTAGTGGTATGATTCACTACTGCCGATTCTAAATAAATTTATCGTTTTCAGGCCAACTTCTCATGCTAACGACAGACACGAATCCTATCCGGGTTTTTGTGTGACGCATGTGGTATAAACCAACGAAGGTTAAATATTGCTGGAGAATTATTAAATACTGTCGAGGGTGAACACTTGAAGGAGCGAAAAATTTAGACGCCTCTACCGTATTTAAAGAGAGCGTGACTAAAATATTCAGAATGGTTGTTTTTTTTCCCCGGCTTTGGACAACGTCACGTTTCGTGATAATAGTCAGAATAATTCTGCACAAAATCACTTAATAAGATACCTCCAGGTGGAGCGTATGTTTTATCTGGGTTTTAATTTACCTATACTCTGGGTAACGACCCTGAATTTAGAAAATATACTGTGTAATCTGTTGGCATACACTTATCAATGGGAGAGAGGTCTGAGCAGGCTGAAAGTGATCAGAGTAAATATTCTAGTATTCTACGAACATACATCGGACCTTTCGTATAAATCGAAAATAAGTACTAGTCCGTACTTCCTGTCTTTTTACAGACCCGTATGTGCAAAAGGACTAAACTTAATAGTAAAAATTAGTTTTACCTAGTGTCCAACCACTTTTGTTTCGATCAACGGAATTTAATTCGGCGGCTGAGATATTTTATATAGATGCTCTTTTTGTTTATACACGAAAGAATATTGAAAAGGGAAACAACAGAATCGGAGAGACGAATAATCTCAAATAGGCTGACTTGTTTGTTATTGTTGTTAGATCGAAAAAAAAAAATGTTTATTCACAGTGCAAATAATAAAAGCTGCCAATTCTCGACCGAAAAGTGTTTGCCAGAACAATAATAAGCGCCTACTTTGCTATCTTACGGTTATGCCTCTTTAGTGAAGCCAAATACCTTACTCCGACTTCTCAATGAGTTGTTTTTATTTGTGAAACAGACCCTTTTGCAAACGATTTGCCGACAATAATCGAAACGACGTTCGCTTCTGAAAGCTAGTACTAGTTCTGAAGGTTGATGCATGGCTATTTGAAGATACACGCTGAAATTATCGGCATGGACGCATTTGTTTTTTGAGAGGGCATAAATATGGCAAAAGAAATTTAATGAAGTGGGTAATGTACGAAACTCACGCCGTAAACGAAAGCGTTATTGTTTTTGACAAAGGGAAAGTTTTTCGTATTTATGCCGACGAGTACTTCAACGTACTACGTCGATGAGCTTGGTGGATACGGGAACTTATTCGTGGGGTAAAATGTTCATGTATTTTTTACATTAATATACATCATATGTGTTATAAATGTGTATGTACTAGGTTTTTATTGGATGTATTTGTTCTATTACCACTAGATGTGTTAGCGACAAAAATGAATTAGAAGTATATAGAAATTAAGCGTTAGTCCTGTAGACGCGTAGGGAATTAAGTTCCCGGCCATTGGAGGTTCGGTGCAACGTTATAATGGTTAGCTAGTGAAGCAGCTTGATGGCAGTTGATGGATTTGACTAGAAAAGCGTACGTAATGTTTGAGCCGGAACTGAGCCCTTTGTCGGTTGGAGAAACGAGGCTATGTAAAGGCAATACGAAACGATGGTGTTGAAAATCTTTTATCTATGCATCGATATGTTAATGTTTTCAAATACGACTAGTGTCCGTCGGCCAAAATTAGGTTTTTTTCGGTGTCACTTGAAGTACTACTCAAGTCGATTTAATGAACGATTAACTGAATCAATTGTATTGAGGTTAATTGAGAGTCCATTGAAATACATTGGCCGAGCAGCAAGCAGGCCCATACGAAGGCGTCGTGTATTATTTTTTTTTTTCCTTTCTAGTTTTGACAGATTAAGGGTTTATGCATCATGCAGATCAGATTTAACTGTTTGACAAACAGTATCGGTAAATTACATTATCGATATTATCTATAAGCAAGATTGAATATTTTTCCTTTGTCTAACCTCCGCAATGGCTACATTTTGCTTACTCTAATAGAGCCAATGGCTATTCGAAGGTTTTTCCAGTGATTAAATTATTTATGAAGCCTTAATACATCACTCCAAGATTATAATATTAAATTTAGCTGATTGAGTTCTTTGATTTCAGCCGTTATTAGTTCGTCGTTAGCACTTTGATGAAAACAGGAAATGGTGCACAATGTATAAAAAAACGCAGGCTTCTTCGTTGCCCGCTTGCACAATCTGTAATCCCGGTAACGGCAATAATCATCAAGGATGACTATGCATGTATTTCGGACGTGGGAATTATTAGAGGTTCTATTTACCATATTATAGCGCATATGGAATTCTAGTGGGAAAATAGGCCACATTTAATCGCGAGGGCTTCGCCTGGAAGGATGTTAAGATAGAACAAAATCAATCAAAACATGTATTATTCCCATATGATTAGGCTTCTAATTTTTTGAAAATATTCAGATTTCCAGCAAAGAGCGTTACCGTTTTCATTTTATGCTATAACATACATCACACCGGTCACATTAGTGAATATTTACACCTTTTCAAAACGGCCGTTAACCATTTTTGGCTTATTTTGGTACCCATCGATAAACAGGCAAGCCTGAAGTTTCTTAACTTCGTAGCGGTCGAAAAGTCTGCGTAATTAGCCTATCTGTCACACTAATAGTAAAGTCATAAATTGCCGTTAAACTTCGATAATTGATACTTATACTTTTCTGACCATGTGTGAGGCATTACATTAGATTTCGCAGAATTTTAGGGCGAATCAACTAACATTACTGCAGTAGCTAAAACCCTGGCGACGACCTAAACTGTCACTGAAAAGTTGTCAAGACCCAATTTCAGCACCAGTGACGGTCTATTTTAACTTAACGAGAATAGTCACTTTTAGATGTTTATTACTGAGCGAATAACAGGTTTCTCGGATTGAGTTAAATTGCAGAAGTTATTTACCCTTCATATGAGAAAAACCAGCGGGACGTAACGGACATATATCAATAGAGGGCATTTTCGTTCCAACCGAGTGCCTCTTTTGCATTTGTTCTTGGTGCACCGTAATGATATTGTTACTGCGATGACTTAAGGGTCACTGGTGCGCTGTGGACGTTAAGCGGTGGGGCGATCAGCGATGCGTTTTAAAAAAAAAACGCATCGCCGAGTGCTTATTTAAATTCAAAAAGAGCGTTCATTTGAATTTAATCAAATGAAAGCGGGTTTCTGAGCACCTTATGTTCCTCTGCAAGAATAACCCAGAATGTATTAATTGCAGGGGCCCACTTTTAGCAAAGAACATAGAGGAGCATTGAGGGCCTAAAAAAGGACCGCTAAAAAGACCCAAGTGGAAATTGGTATGCGGATCGTCTACCATGTAGGAAAACACGCGGCTCATTCTACCGTGTTCCTAGTAACAAAGTCCCTTAATGCAGAAGTGCACATAACTCGAATCAAATACCGGTGCAGGACATAGGATCGATTGAGTCCTTTCTACAGTGCAGTGGTAATATTTTTAGCTGCTAACCGAAAGAACTAACTAGTTTAAGTTGGGATCTCGACGTTTACACACTCAAACCTTCCAGTAAAAAGCCCAGTAATAAAAGAAGACAGCGGTATTTAAAGAGTGCTAGTTAGGTTTACAATAAAATTCAGATTCACTTACCGAAGAGTTAAGTGTTTTAAGTTTAAATTTCCGAATCATCGCCTGAAGATCAAATTTTCCTTTTTAACGGATCTAAGCTGCCATCCGATAATTATTGTCAGACCAAGGTTGCAAGTAATACCGCGCATTCATATGCCCATCCGTCTAACAAGCTACGGAAGTTTTTTAGACCACGCGTCTCCGTTTCTTCTTTGCTGTAAGCAATAGTCTGCCACTCGATTTGGTTACAACGTCGACCGTACTTAGGTTGATAAAGCTTCTTACTCCTCTTTCGTCGTTATTTGAGTCACTGACATTGGTGACTGTACTCCGTAGAAGCAATTACGGGGGATCAAGACATCGCTAATCAGTCGGCGTCGCCAATCAGCGAGCTTTCCCCCTGGCGTCCTCAACTCTAAAGCCTAAGTCTATGGGGCTTCCGGCATGAGACCAATGAGGCCGAGATTTTGTGCCTTTTTCGCCGCGTAGCTCTAAAAACAAAGATCGCAAATGGCTCATCATAGTTTTTCATTCTTACCTGAGTGTTACAACCCCCGCTACAACTAACGGGGCTTTATCTGTGTACTTCGTAACATCTTTAGCTCTGTCTTGAAAGGATCTGCGTGTTTTTTGCCTGGTTCCAAAATCGAACGTTCTTCAACTGAAAAGCCCCTCACCAGAAAATCTTGAGAACATAGCTTACCGGAACGATATATGAGAGTAGGTGATCTTACAAGTCGCCCCCATATCCCGTGTAGATTTAGTCTAGCTGGCAATGTCAAGTGATGATATTATGTCGGGTGTCAGGTATTTACTAGCCAGGTTTTCGGTGCTCCAGCAGAAAGACCTGCTCTGACAGAGTCGTACTGGCTGAAGTCATCTTTCAATGGATGCCGGTTACAATTCGACACCGTTTTGTTTATCTTTATGTAGG